TCATTCTGCTATCAGACTCCACAGCACGGCTGGGAGGTAGGGAGGCTCGCTCACGAGGAACAACCTTCTTTTTTTTTAATTTCTTTTTTTTTTTAGTATGTTATGTTAATCACCATACATTACATCATTAGTTTTTGATGTAGTGTTCCATGATTCATTGTTTGCATATAACGCCCAGTGCCCCATACAGAACGTGCCCTCCTTAATACCCATCACCAGGCTAACCCATCCCCCACCCCCTATGGTAAAGAAAAAAAAAAGAGGAACAACCTTCTAATAATTCCAAAGCCAACATGGGCTGCCTTAAGTGAAGCAGTGAGCTTCCTGTGCTCAGAGGCATTCAAGACACAAGCAGGAAAACTGCCTTGGGAATCTGACCTTCACAGACAGCTGAACGAGTGGCCTCCGATATCCCTCCCAACCTGAGAATCTCTACTACAGGGTCTGTGGGCATCAGGACACAGCATAGGAGTTAAAAGCATGTGTGTTTCAGCAGCTCTGGGTCCAGATCCCAGCTTTGTCCTTGTCAGCTATGGCCTCCGCCAAGTCACTTCCTCCCCGAGCCTCCATCTCCTCATCTGTCATATGGGGATATTTATGCCTGCTTCACAGGGTTCTTGTGAGGGTCTGATGCAGAATACTTGGCATAGTGCCTGGCGCATAGTAAGTGCTCAGCAAAGAGTAGCCACTAAGGGTAATACTGTTACGAAACAGGGTGTTGATATGGACGCGGTAGGAGCCAGCCCCTGGCCACCCCCCACGACTCCTGGTTATCAGAACCAAGGTCGGGGAGGAGTAGCCAGCTGGGTGGGACGTGCTCGGCCCAAAGGGGCAAAGTCTGCCTGGGTGGTGTCCGGCTGTTCCACTCTCCAGGGCAGATGGGAGGGATTTTGTCACCGGCATCCGGGCGGGCAGCTGCCGAGCCCTGCCCGTCGAGGACTATTCAGGGGGAGGCGGGTAGGAATGTGGGCACAGTGCCAGGTACAACAGCCTCCCTCCGGTGCTGGAGAAAAGTGCTGAGCTCCCAGCCTGTGAGTTTTGATGCAGTTGGCCCTCCCAGGCAGGCCCCAGGCCAGGCTCTCAACCCAGCGCCCCCCAGCCCTACAGGCTTGAGAATTCAGGACCCTCCATGGGACCAGGAAGAAGAGGGAAGCAGACAGGCAGGAAGAAGGAACGCCTCCAGCTCTGGGGATCCTGCAGTTCACCGGCTGTGTGACCCCAGGCTGGTCGCTGCCTACTCTGGGCCCCAGTACCCCCCCCCCACCACATAACATAAAGCAGGTAGACCAGGCTATGCCGACAGGTCCTGTGCACTGACTCGCTTTCCCCGGTCCCCCTGAGCCACCTGCACCCTCGGTTACAGCTCAGGGAGAGAGCTGATGGATGAGAGGGTCTCCCCAGCCAGGGGCATCTCCTGTGTTGCCAGTCACCCACTGCCAGTGGCACGGGGACAGTCCCCCCCCCTTACCTTGTCACTTCCTTCCCATGAGAGAAGGGGACAGAGTAATCCAGGGCTAAGGCTCCTCTCTCCCTCTGCCCGGCAAGAGAGCAAAAGGCTCTGTCCTGCTGTCTTTCTACGTCCCCAAGTGGTGAGGTCTTTGAATCAGGCTCAGTGGGGGAAGTAGTGGGAGCCTTGGAGGAGGAGGAGATGCCGGGGGGCAGCGCTGGATCATCTTGCCCCCCGCCCCCCGCCTCCAGACCAGTCTACAGCAAGCGTTTCTCGCAGCCGTGCTCCATCAGGACTGGCGCCCAAGGGAGAGGCCCTTGTGTTTTTTACCATCATCATTCTTAATCAGCACCATTTTACGTTCTATGTGCAAAGTACTTAACGTACTGTGTGGCAGACACCAAGTGCTCAGTGGCCACGATTATAAAGAAATTAGCAGGCTTTAAGCACGCGTTATGTACCAGGCATTTTATGTTCATCATCTCATTTAACCTTTAATCCTAAAGGTAGGTAGTGATAATAATGCTTCTATTTATTATTATTACAGTTGGCGTTATTGTCCATGTGTGCCCATTAAGTGCTTACCGTGGGCCAGGCTCTGTGCTAGGAACTGATGTGGCTTGTCTCTTTTAATCTTTGCCTCCGTCCTGAGATGGGTCCTTTGATCCCCACGATGTAAATGGGGACACCGGGGTCTGTGGGCTTAGGTGACTTGACCAGGATCAGCCAGCCAGCCAAGTGGCAGATCTGGGGTTTGGACCCCAGTCAGTCTCAGCAGAGCTGATATGACAGAACTTTCAGGGTCATCTTCAGTCACCCTAGGGACTTGGCTGATCCAGTGGCCCCGAGCCCGGGGCACAGAGTAGACGCTTGCTCCCCAGGAGCCTTGTGGGAATGGCCTCCCGCCCCCGCAGTGTCTCCTCCTTTGGGGGACCCAACTCCCACCCCAGCACCTGGCCTCTTCCTGACCTCTGTCGACGCCCCTTGGCACCTGATCTGCTGGCACTGTGACCAGCCCCTGCACTGTCCCCGTGGGGACCAGAGCCCGCCCAGGAGAGAGCCCAGACCCGGTAATTGATTGACTTTTGATTGATGCAGGCAGCGGGTTCAAGCCGCAGATAAAGCTGCAGCCCAGCCAGGCCTGGGAGTTGCCAGAGACCAACAAATACGGAGCCAAAGTCTGTCCAAGTTCGGTCACTTTATCTGCACTTCCTCTGAAACTGAGCCACCCCCAGCTGTGGAAGAAACCCATACACGTGAGCAGTAAATAAAGCTGGGGCTCAGGAGAGGCAGGTGGGACAGCGGAGTAGAGTGTGGGAACCCCAGGGATGGGGGGGGTGAGTCCCTGGCGAGCTGGTCAGCAGGCCAGCGCCCTCACCCCTACTATCCTTGTTCCCTGGTCAGTCACATGGGGAAATAATCCTCCCAGGATTGCTGAGCACAGAAGTTGTAAAGAAAAAACTGCCTGGCACACAGTAGGAGCTTCCGAGAGGCAACTAGATCTCACTCTAGTGATGGCCACGCTCCATTTCTGGAGTCCGCTCCGTGTGCGGGGCACGGGGCTAAGTGCGGGCCGTGCAGGAGCTCGGTCAGTCCTCACGCCGACCCTGCGAGAGCGTCACCGTCACACCTCGGCTGGAGGCTCACAGGGCAGGGTCTCCCAGAACCCAGGTGGTCTGCGCCAGCCCTGACATGGCAGCGGGGCTTCCCTGAAGGGCGGCGTGCACGTGCCTTGCCCCAGGGAGGACTGGCCCCCTCACCAGGCTGCTCTCCGCTCCACGACCTGTCACTCAGGGTCACGCCGCAGCCGCCCAGCCCCCTTCCCAGACTCCAAAGGGGGAAGGAGGGGCCTCTGCCATGCCCCCCCACCCCAGGGCCCCTCCAGCTTGAAGGGGAGCCTGGAGCATGGGATCGTAGGCCTGCCTGGCCCTCCCGAGGCCCACAGCCTTCTCCCACCCCCTCTCACGCCAGCCATGGCACTGCCCCCGGGGACCTCTGGCCCATCTGCCCTGTCTCCCTTCCCCCTCACCCCCAGCCCTGCGGGGAAAAAGGCTTCAGGACCGCGGTCGCTGCAGGGTTCCCAGAACCCCGTCTTCCCCGTGCTGCCCCGGGCCATCACTTCCAACCACTGACTCGTTTGTGAACTATTTATACCCCTCGCACCAACTGCTCAGTGCTCCGGGCAGACGGCTCCGTGCTGCGGGCCCCACCAGGACCCCTGGAAGCGGGCTGACACAGAGCAGGTGCGCAGGCTGAGGAGCTGGGCTTCCGCCCCCTTCCTTTACTGCTCTGTGACCTTGGGCAGGTCACTTAACCTCTCTGAGCCTCCATTATATAAGGTTATTACGGGGATTAAGTACAACAAAATATGTAAAGTTCCCTGGCACAAAGACAGATTTCAAAAAGTGGTTTCTATTAGTTGCTCAAGGTCATGCTGAGCTTACATATAATAGGGCTGGGGGAAGGGATCTGGGGAGCCCTGAGGAAGGCACAGAAACGAGGTGTGTGTTCATGCAGGAACGCCAAGACCAGGCCACGGGTTTCTGCAGCTCAGCCCCTCTGTGTTGCTCTGTTGTCACCAACACACCCAGGCAGCTTGAGGCCTGGGGCTACGCAGGCTTCTCTCGGCTCAGAAAGCCCATTTTAGCCCTGAGAGCACGCTTCTCACCCCCCACCAAGAGGCAGTCAGGGCAGGTGTTTGGTTAGCCTGATAAGAGGGCCCACATCCGCTGTGATGTGATGAGCTCTGCAGCACAGCACCTCCCCAGCCGGGGGAACGGCCCGGAGGCCATCTCTGACCCAAGCTCTCACCGCAAGGAGGCCCGCGAGAGGGACATTTAGACAGCCCCCCCACCCCACGCACACTGTCCCCGTGTCTGCTGGGCCGTTGGTGGCAGAAAACAGACCTGCAGTGTGCAGACACACATTTATCACCTAATCAGCGTCCCAGCCCTTTCCAGCCATACCCCCCCTCCCCACTCTCAGCTGGCACACCCTGCACAAACTGTTCCCTGAATTTGCTCCGGGCCACCTCCCAGCAAGCTGCAAGAGGACCTCGCCCCTGGGGCCTCCCTCCTGAGGCCCTGCCCTGTAACACGTGCTGCATTCTGCCTCTCTCCTGGGTGGAGGCAGGAGTAGGGGGAGCGATGGGGCCGGTAGGGATGCCAGGCTGGCCCTGGAGAGAACATCAGGGTCGCCGCCCCCCCCCCTCCCCGGCCCCGTCCCTGCAAGCCATACCCTGTGGTGTAGTGAATTCTTTCTCCCTGCTGCTCCCGTCCCACTCAGTACAGGCAGGCTGTGGTTTCAGCTTCCTTACGCATCTCACTGGCCCAAAAGTTAGCGCTGTTCCACATGGCAGAGGCCGCAGGCCATGTGGGGAGTTGCTCGTCATCAGAGGTAACCAAGCAGTAGCCATGCCTCGGGACTTCACGTGGACCGAAGTCCCTTCCAGCTGCAACAGGGTGACAGGCTCCTCACAGTCCAGCCCGTGGTGCTCCGACCCATCAGGTGTGGGGCGTCAGGATGTCCTTAGCCTCTGCCTTTGCTCCCACAGGTACGACGCTGGCCGGGACGGCTTCATTGACCTGATGGAGCTGAAGCTGATGATGGAGAAGCTCGGAGCCCCGCAGACCCACCTGGGCCTGAAAAACATGATCAAGGAGGTGGATGAGGATTTTGACAGCAAGCTCAGCTTCCGGGAGGTGAGCCCGCTCCCCGTGGGGGGCTCTCTACTGCCTTGAGTGAGGAGGGAAGGATGTCCATTCCTTCACATGGTCAGCACTTACTGAATGACTTCTGTATACCTGACCCTGGCGGGGGACTTTGGGAATCCAGAGGAAAGCCCTGTGCTCCTAGGGTCCCGGAGTGCAGAGGGGGAGATTCCCAGAGAGCAAAATGGCAGGGTGCTGTGACCCAGGAGACGGGGGGACGGGGCAGAGGGAGTGACATGCACTGCGTCCAAGAGGGGCCAGGCTCTGTGCTGGGTGACTTCACACTCGGGGTCTCGGTCCGTCCTCGCTCTGGGGCAGAAGCCATGAGCAAGCCTGTTCCGAGGAGGAGGAAATGGAGGCTCACAGCCAGAAAACACGGTAGTGGACCCCAGGCAGCCTCTGGTGAATGACAGCGAACCAGCAAGAAGCCTAGAGGAGACAGAGCAAGGGAAAGGTGGTGGGGAGGACACGTCCAGGGAGGAAGGTGCAGGCCGTGCACGATGATGGTGTGGAGTCAGGATGTGGGTTCAGACCCTTCTTCCGTCACTTTCTGCTGCTGAGATTCGGGGCAGGTTTTTTCCTTGTCTCTGAGTCTTCCACAGTCTGTAAAATGGGCACAATCCTATACCTTGAGGACTCAGTAAATTGGTTGGGGGAACAGTGGAGACAAAGATACGAGGTAGGTTGGGGCTCTTCCGGGGAGCTGAGCATGGGCACACAGGCCTGTGGCAGCCCCAGATCCTGGGAGAGCGGGAGATGGGTCACCTTGCCTCCCATTGTACAGACGGGCACACCGAGGCCCAGAGCATGGCAGGAGAGAGCCCAGACCTCTGGCCCCTTGCCCCTCCCTGACAACGTGCTTTTCTCCCGACCGCAGTTCCTCCTGATATTCCGCAAGGCAGCGGCTGGGGAGCTGCCGGAGGACAGCGGGCTGCACGTGCTCGCCCGCCTCTCCGAGATCGACGTCTCCACCGAGGGCGTCAAGGGGGCCAAGAGCTTCTTTGAGGCCAAGGTGAGGAACTGGAGGCTGTGTGGAGCCCAGGGTGGGGGGCGCTCAAGGACAAGGGTGCCCGAGGGGAGGACAGGACCCTGAGTTAGCTCCAGGGTCAGTGCTCACCCTTCGTGTTCCTGCTGAGGCCGCACAGAGGAGACAGGGCGCTGACGCCAGGGCTGGCCTGGGCAAGGCCCACAGCGCTCCTGGCTTCTGTCCCCTTCCTTCAGGCTGGGATCCCTCCCGGCTTCCCCTTTCTCTCTCTAGCCCACAGAACCACTATCCCCGAAGGACTAGTCCTTGAAAGGTGGGCCCGGGAGATGGCAGAGCAGGCCCAGAAACACAGGGCACTGGCTCATGGGCCTCTCAGAGACCCCAGCCCCGCCAGCCCCGGCCTGGAGAGAGTATGGGCCCCAGAGGCGCCCACGTACACGGCAGCTTCCCGGTGCCACACGCACTTAGATGGAGGGGACAAATACAGCTCCTAGATTCTGACCTCCCAGGGCACCTGCTTTTCCTTCTTTCTCCCTCTCCCCATGTTAACTAAGAACATTGCTTCTGAAGGCTGCCTCCCACCTCCCTCTGGGCTTCTGGGGTTGATGGGATGTTCCAGGGTTCATCAGTGGGACCTGGTATGCATCTGGGCTTCCCAGGACGGGAAGCAGGATAAGAATAGCCACTTCAGGGGGCGCCTGGGCGCCCCAGTCGGTTAAGCATCTGCCTTCGGCTCAGGTCATGATCTCGGGGTCCTGGGATCGAGCCCTGTGTCCGGCTCCCTGCTCAGTGGGGAGTCTGCTTCTCCCTCTCCCTCTTCTTCTCCCTCCAACTTGTGCTCTCCACCCCCCCCAAATAAATAAATAAATAAATAAAAGAGCAACATCGAAGCTCCCACTTATGGGACTCACGCTAGGCAGCAACCACCAAATATATGTTCTAGCTTCCAATCCCCTCAATGAATCCTCAAGTCAGTTATTGAGCTATTCAGGCTCTGAATGGGAAACTGAGACTCAGTGAAGCCCCGGCCCCGGGCCCGAGCTAGCGAGAGGCAGAGCGGTCCGCGGGCTGGCAGGGGGAGGGCACAGGACCGAGGGCCCGAGAGCCCACGGTGGAGGCCCAGACGCCCCTCCCGCCCTGACCCCCGTCACCCCGACTCCACTGCAGGTCCAGGCCATCAATGTGTCCAGCCGCTTCGAGGAGGAGATCAAGGCGGAGCAGGAGGAGAGGAAGAAGCAGGCGGAGGAGATGAAGCAGCGGAAGGCAGCCTTCAAGGAGCTGCAGTCCACCTTCAAGTAGCAAGAAGCTGCGGCCTGACCGCTTGGCCCCGGCCCCAGCGCCCAGTCCAGCCAGCAGGGGTGGGCAGACTGGAGGCCGAGCCTGAATCCTGGGCTCTGTCTGAAGGGACCATACGGAAAACCTACCAAGTCTGTGAACGGAGCCAGCTGAGGGGTGTCCCAGGCGGCCCGGCCCCCCCGCTCCCTCCCGCTCTTCCTGAGGCCCGGCCGCCTGTGCTGGCTCTTTACCTGGCCCAGCCCTCCCTGGCGACCCCGGTGTGTGTCTCGCCCCTGGCCGCCCCTGCCTTCCAGCTCTGCCGCAGCTCCGAGCCCAGCTCCTGGGCCTGGGGGACTCGCTGCCCTCCATACACTCTCCTCCTCCCCGCCCAGCGGCCCCTGCCCTTAACCTGCAGACCGCGTGGCCCCTGGGGCCCTCGAGCCGCTTCCCAGTCCGGGGAGGACGGACGGCAGGAATGTGGTGGGCTCCAGCTCTGTAGTAGGACGGAAGGGGCTAAGCAGAGGCACGGGGGCTCCCCACCCCCGACGATTGTTCCTCCAGCCCTGCCTCCTCTCTCTGCTGCGGGGGGGGGGGGGGGCTTCTGTTTAGGCAGAGGGACCCAGGCCCCGGCACCCCATGTCCACACAGAGGCCCCAGCCAGGCAGGGGAGGGGGCAGCTGTGCTGATCTACCTCACGGGCCCACGCTCTGCCGCCCGTGCCAAGGATCATGGGCAGGGAAGGCTCCGGGGCCAGAAAGGCCACTCCGCAGTCTCCCTGGAACCACCCGAGGGTCCCAGGGGCTCAGGAGAGAGCAGGGTGGGGAGGAGGGATCGGCCCCTTCACGGGGAAGGAAACCGGCGCCCGGCTCCGTTCTCCAGGACGCGTCCAAGAAGTGCTTTAAGTGGCTTGCACGGACCAGGCGGTGGGGAGCAGGGGCCTTGCGTGGCCCCTTCACGCCATCCTTCCCCCAAGTGATGGGCACTGTCTTGTCACCAGCGACGTCACCCCCCCCCTCCCCGAGGAAGCATGAGGACCCCAGCCCTCCCTGTGCCCACCCGCAGACGGGCGGCGGCCAAGCCTGTGCCACCAGCCTGGTCCCACGCAGCTCCCAGTGTGCTCCCTTCCGCGCGTGCGTGTCCGTTGCCGTGTCGTGAAACTGTGCCCGTCACCCAGTCCAAACCAGTGAGTGGCCCTCGAGGCCATGGTTATGCAACTTGCGGTGTGTGTCATGACGTCACTGCTTTGTAAACCTGATAACTCTTTATTTTAGTAAGATGCCCCAAGAGTCCACGAAACTCCTGTTGGATTTGCAGAGGTTTTATTTTTTTGGCCTTAGAACCTGCAGAAATTAGGAGGTACTGACCCTAGTGCGGCAGCCTTGGCCCTGAATTGCGTTTGCCTTAGCGGATATGTTTATACAGATGAATATAAAAAGTTCTTTTTCTTTGGCTTATTGCTTCCCCCCGCCCCCCTTCTCACCTTCCCACAAAGAAAGCTACTTCTTCATTTGGTGGTACAATTATTTTTTTTAACTAAAATAAGATAAAAGTCTATATTCTTATGTGTGTGTGGTTCTTGTTGGTTGGTGGAGGAGGGGAAGGGCTGGGAGAGGGAGGAAGGGGACGAGGCCACCTGGTGCTGGGGCAGCATTTATTCCGGTGGCTCCCGTGTCCTGTCAGAGGCCCCGGGAGGAGACTTTTCCTAAGGGGGGAGGCTGAGCGTGATGCCCACCCCTCTCACCAGGGGCTACTCTAAGCGCTTTACATATATTTACTCAGGTAATCCTCACCACCGGCCCATGAGGGGTGCTGTTTTGTTTCCCAGAAAGTCTCCCAGAGGCACACGGGCTGGGAGGAGACAGACGGGGCTGGGGGGTGGGGGGGAACAGAATGCAGACCCAGGCCCGCAGCCCGCAGCCGGTCCCCCTCCCCATCTGCTCACCCGCCAGGCAAGTTCAGATGAGGGCATGCACCGGAAGCGGTGCCACCACCGTGGGTGTTCTAGATAGATGTACCCAAGAGACCCCCAAGATTCTCCCCCATGCAGACACACCCCAAGCCTCCACCGCCCCCCCAACACACACACAAGACAGGCTGGGGTGGTAGCATGATGAGGAAAGACCCAGGGTGCTCCCCATGTGGCATTGGACAGATCAGGCTCCTATTGGGTCACAGGCTCCCACAGGTCTGCTCAAAGTGAGGGCGGGCTAGGGTCTCTAGGGTCTTCCCAGCCCTGCACTTTCCAGGTACTGGGTGCAACCTGAGTTGGGGTGTGGGAGTGTGGGCTTCGGCTGGGCATCGCTGCCCCCAGGTGGAAGTGGGTGGTACTGCAGCAGCCCCAGGCTCCCTCACCTGCCCTGTCCTTGGAGTGGGTTTCCTGGGGAAGGTCACCGGCACAAGCCACCCAATGCCAAAGATGCCACCATCATGAACACAACATGTTAGGTTCAGCGTTGTCTTTCGGGACCCCTTCCCCAAGGGAAGAACATCAGAACCCCTAACGTCCAAGCTCAGAGGGTCTTAGAACAAAGGGGTAGAGGACCCTGACTGGGAAGGACTAAAATTCAAGCTCTCGAGCCCCGCCTTCCAGCTGGCCCATGATGGATGTGGACCTCGGACCCTCAGGACATGAGAGACACCAGCCAGCTGTCCCACACCAGGACCCTCCACCACACCAACAGGTCTCAGCCAGGAGGGGGCCCTCAGCCTCGGCCTGCCCGAGGGCCCCACTCCAGCAGAGGGATCAGGCTGCAGAATGAAGAGGCCCGGAGTGACTCAGGGCCTGAGAGTGGAAAAGTATACAGTTCCTTGATCCCCTCCCAGGCCCCATCCTCTGGGTCCCCATTGCCAAACACGGAAACCCCTCAGTGAGCCCCCAGGCCTCCTCTGAACCCCCAATACTTCCATTTGGTTCTAAGGAGAAACACTTTCAGCCTCTCCCCCCTCCCACCCCTGCTGGCCCCTTAGTGGCCCTCACCCAAGAAACAGATGCCACCTGAGAGTCCTGTCCCAGCCATTAGAAACTATGGGCCCCAGTCAGTGTCACCTGCCCTGTTTCTCAGGCTCTCACCACCCCCGCGCTCCCAACCTTGGCACCGCTTCTCCTGAGGTCCCCCCTCCAACAGCTCAGCCTCTGCCAAGTCACCCTTGATTATTTTTCCAGGAGAGTCTGGCCCTGAGCATCTGGGAGACTCTGCAGCCCAGGCCCTGGGAGGCTCCGCTCCGGGTCCTGGAAAGCACAGAGTTCAAGGGGATGAGAATGGGGATTCCAGCATTCTCACACCCTCAAGTCCTCGAGTTCATTTTGGACATGGAATCTATCGAGAGGGAATCCTTTCTCAATCCGCACCCCACTGAGCTCCCAGCCCGAACGAACCTCTTCTCATTCAGGGCTCCCAGCCCTCGGCCCGGAACACTCAGAGGAACGCTTACTGCCCTGCCCATCAGGGAGCTCCAGCGGCGCTGAGCAGGGTCTCACCTCTGCAGCTCCAGCTCGAGCGCAAGGTGTGCATGGCAGATGCTCAGCGAATGCGGGAGGGAGGAAGGGATGGATGGATGGATGGATGGATGGACGGATGGACGGATGGACGGATGGGTGGCTTCTGGTACACAGTATGTCAGCACCCCACAGACTGGGCAAACAAAACAGTCAAGTCTTCAAACAAGTTAATCCAGGAAATCCACTCCACGGGGCTCCCCTCTGCAGATATTCACAACCCCCAACCCGCACCCCATCTGATTACCTACCAAGGCCAGCAAATCAGGTCAGGCCCCTACACGTCAGCACTGTAACTTGGGCAGTCTGGACCACTGGCGTAACCGCATCCCCTGACCAGGGCTCCCTGCATCAAGGCCAAGTCAGCAGGGGCCGGCCCTAGCTCCCGCCTCCGCCCAGTTGCTCCCAGTGAGAACACAGTTTTCTCCCTGGCCTCGCCAAGACACAGCTAGAGGCACCTCTGGGGCCCAGAGAAGGTTCCAGTGATCCACAGAACATTCCCCGAAGTCTCACTCCGTCACTCAGTCGCACATATCTCGGCATAAGGACGGGTCACGGCCAGGGCTGACTGGTCCATCCACACTGTGGCCGCAGCGTGGAGCCCACAATACCTTTAGGGCCCACGAAAATCTTTCGGTTTCTTATAAAATCAGCAGGAAAAGAATACAATCCGGGCTTCTAGTCCATTATACCAGCTTAGATTATATTAGTCTTTATACCTATGCAGTCAGAAAACATGCTTTTTAAGTATTTTTTGATGGAGGAAGGGGCCCACGAAGGCCAAAGGGCCCAGCGATGTCCAGACTCAAGATTTCTCGTAAGAAGCAGACAACAGCAAGAAGAGCAGCCAACACTTACATGGAGTTTGCCGAATGCCAGGCACTCCCTGCAGTAAGAAGCAGTACCATTTTTTACCCCCATTTTACTGATGAGGGCACAGAAGCACAGAGAGGTTGAGCCATTAACACAAGGTCACACAGCCAGGAAGCGATGGCTCTGGGTTTTCCCTCCTTCACGAGTGTGGCCCAGCAGTAGGCAAAGCCCACAACATCCCGTCTCCAGAATGTGAAGCAGATGAAGGAGACCTCGGTTTTCTCCAAGCCTCCAAGCCAGGAAGGTCCCCTACAGCTGATGCTGTCTCCGCCTTCAAAGCAGCCAGCAACTTCCCTCCAAAAAAAAAGGTCAGTTTCTCTGGGGACATTCCGAAAAAGAAAAAAAGCAAAGACTCTTCGTCTGGGACCTCACTCCTCGTGCCCCTGCGCGTTTGCGGCTATCCCTATGTTCGGGTGCAGGTTCGAACGTGGGGCACGTGGCTCTGCACGCGTTACAGATAAGGGGGTGCTTCTTATGTACGACGCTGGTGCATGCGTGTCTGTGGATATGGAGGCGTGGGTGTGCGTGTCTGTCTGTCTGTCTGTGCTCGTGCAGCTACGGGAAGGTGCACGGGACTGAGGTGGGCACCGAGAGATTGCTGTATGTCCGAGGGGAAACCAGCAAACTTCCACACGTAGAAGACCGGTTCATCATTTCCCCAGGTTGGTCGAGAGAAACTGAGGCCCATGGGCACCTGGGTGGCTCAGTCAGTGAAGCGTCTGCCTTCGGCTCAGGTCATGACCCCAGGGTCCTGGGATGGAGCCCCACATCGGGCTCCCTGCTCAGGGGGGAGCCTGCTTCTCCCTCTCCCTCTGCTGCTCCTCCTGCTTGTGCTCTCTCTCTCTCTCTTTCTGACAAATAAATAAGTAAAATCTTAAAAAAAGAGAGAGAGGGAAACTTAGGCCCAAAGAGCTTGCCCAAGATCCAGGTCCCTAAGTGAGCTAGAAACCAGGAGCCTTCTCTCCAGCTGCCTGAGCCCTGTCGCCCCCAAGATCTGCCACGAAGCTCGGTCCACATCTCCGTGTCCAACATTAGTCTGCAGGCCAGGCAGACCCTTTGCAGAGCTTGGCCACCAGCTGCTCTGGGTCTGAGGTGGATCGGCAGTAGCCACTGACACCGCTGTCAGGACCGGCCCCTCGAATTCAACAGAAAGTTCCCCACAGCCTGAGATCCCAACACCCCAGGCCTGGGGCTTGAGATCATCACAGCAGGACAGACCCTCTTATCCATACCCTTACACTCCCTGTCTTTATGTCTCTTTTTATCAAAACTTTCTTGATTTTTATATTACCAAAGTAATGCATGCTTGTTTTTAAAAAGAATCTAAGCTGTATAAATTACATAAGTTAGAGTCCTTCCCTACCCTCAGATACCCACTGTTAACAGCAGAGTGCAGAGTTTTCTGAATTGCTTTTAGGAAATAATTCCTAAGGTGAGCAGTGGGCTCAGTTCAAAAAACGACTTCCAAGGAGCATCAGATGAATAGAAAGGGGAGGGAGAGCAGAATCTAACTGGGCCGGCCAAAGTCAGGCCTTGGCTCAAATGGCTTACTACAAGGCCCTACAACGGACGGGCTGACCCCAAACTGCCAGGGCTCTGGATGGAAATTCTGGACACGCATAGCTTTGGACCCACCACAAACCCCACCGCAAACCCAGATCTGCCGCTTGACCCTGACATTCAAGTCGTGGAGTCTTGGGACTGACAGGAGCCTGGGATGCATCTGGTCCTCTGCACCCATTTTAGAGACAGGGAGAAAAGGACTTTGCAGGGAGATAAGTGGGTTGGCTCTGGGGAGAAATTTGGCCAACTGGGCACCTTCCAGGGGCTGCCTGGACCTCAGCCTCCACTGGGGCAGGAAGGCAGGGGGCACCCCAAGACCAGAAAATATTAGTCAAATGAAGGAGAAAGAGGAGAGGAAGAGAGAGAAAGAAACAGTGTATCACCGTAGGATGAACCCCAGCCCGGTGTCAGAAGTCCTGACTTCAGACCCTGGCTCGGGTGCTGCCCCACTGTGTGACCCTGGGCAGTCGCTGACCCTCTGAGTCTCGGCTTCCTCCTCTTCCTTGAGCAGATAAAAGCATCTCCTTCGTGTTGTTGGGACAATTGGGTGACTACAAGAAGTACCAGGCACAATGCCCAATAGATGATAACTAAAGAGAATGAGTTAGGGAGAGAGGATGAGAACAGGCT